AAATGAGCTCCAACTGATACACACAACGACTCCCTCAACTTTTGAAGGCATTTTTAGCCAGCCACCTGACCTATTTAGCCAAATAATGTGTTTGTCTTTTGTGTCTTCCTAAACTGAGCAGTCTGGAACTGGAATTTGAGGTTTAACTGCACCCCAGCAGTGCAGCAGTGCCCTGCGCCAGGTGAAATCACACACAGTGCAGCCCACAAAAACAGGAGGGCTGGCTCTCTGATTCAGACAGTTTGTGTATTAATTGAGAATCCCCCTTTTGGTCATTGCTAATTGGTATTGGTATTTTTTTCTCAGTCAGCTGTTTATCACTTTATCAGTAGGTGGCAGTAATAGACGAGCCTGTGCAGCTTCTACTCGTAATAGGAATTTGGGAAAGAAAACACCCAATTTTAGGGCAAAGCTGCTCATTTTGTTTGTTCACAAGCGTGAGTGGTGTAAATGTACTTGACAAATTCAGACATACATCTTCCTCTAACAGACAGAGAAGTTGCTCCCATACCAATTCTGGTATTTATGGCTGTACTTAATTTAATAGTGCTATAAAGCTGGATTCAATTAGATGCAAATGTACATTATTTACCTAAAGATTAAATGTGCAGGTGCCTGTAAAATTTTATGTAATACTTATTCTGGTAAGTTTGCACACTATTTTTCACACATTACTATTTAAGTCAGGCTAATGACTTTAAGTATTAGTTTCCTGTAAAAGAAGCCTGTATTTCCTGGGAACCACTCCTTCCCCCAAGTTTTCTTTAGTCTCCTTGAAGAGACAAATCCATATTCTGATGCAGACCCAAAGGACAGCCATAATTATGGCATTTTCTAGGAAAATTAAGTATATAGATTTTTATCCCTATATAATGAAAAGATAGGAAAAACTATATAATCAGGTCCTCTCAAAGCACATATTTTGTTACTCCTTTGATATCAGAAATCCAGCTGGGTAAATGACTGCCTTATTGAAACTTAGGCTTTAATATGCACCTCTACAGACTGTTGTTCCCAAAGTGTTCTTTCCTTCTGTTGGAGCTGATCCTGCTGTAAGTTACTGCAAAAATGCCTGGCTACAATATCATTATGCATAATTATTTACCTTAGTGCCACTGACAGCAAAGGTTGTATTTATTTTAACCTATGGTGTGGTGTAGAACAGCTTAGTGTAAACTTCCCTCCATATTTTTCTCCTTCTTGGACCATAATTTCATAGAGGTCATCTTAAAAAAATTGCCTATCAGCATCAGCCAAGTACCCTGCTACTAATTTAATACATGATATAGGAAGCAAATAAGGGGAATTTAGTATCTAATAGAGAGGAGGAATATAGTTTTTAGGATTGAAATGGTAGCATCTTAAATTCAAGGTAAACCAAGGAGATTAATCTGATGGAGGCAAAACAGCCAGCCCCACATGTGCTACCAAGACATTACAGTTTACCACCAATCCATTGGGAACTCTTATTTCATCAGAGCAGCAAGTTGGGATATGAAGAAAGGATTACTCAAAATGTGTCAAACCCTCCTTGAATCCAATCCTGTTCTGAAGTTCTCACTCTGTGAGATGGCAGCCCCAACTCACACAGTTAAGAGAAAGCACCCATTACTTTCTGGGCCTGAACTACAAATAAACAAGCATATTTATAACATATGAAATAGAGAGAGAGAGAGAGCAGTACAGTGTTAGGATGGCAGCAGGTCTGGTTTTGTTTTCATTGAAATTAGTAGGAATCAAATCAGACTGTTTGATGAAAATATAAACTCCTTGCTTCAGCCTATAGGAAGCCTTTCTGTTAGAAAAATTCATGTTTTGGAGAGCTTTGGGTTTTTTTTTATATCATTCTATACTTCATGATATAATATGAATTCATTATTTAGAAAAATGTACAATATCATTCAGATATTTTTGTGTAGAGCTGGGGCAACATGCTTAAGCATGAAACTCAAGTATCAATAGCAGATTATCCAAACTGCCTCAAAGGTCAAAGCAATACAAAACATAATAATGGCAAAGACATTTTATGGTTTGCTGGGATTGGAGGAAAAGATATTCTTTTAAATTTCTTTTAAGATTTTTGGATCAAGCTGGTGTTGACAAAAAAGCTAACCAGAAGATGCCATTCTCCTTCAGAGAGTAAATTTTTTGATGGTGTTCTTAAGGAAAGTAATATACTTTTATGCAATCCAAAGCTGTTACAATTTTATTTGTTGTGTTGATCTTCTAAGTTCACCTCACCCTCTTCCCCTTCAAATTACTAATTTGCCAACAGTGTATCTTCATTCAAGGAACTGGTAAATAAGGCCCAAGGATATTAGAGAAAGATGTTTTGTTTTCCAGTAAGGAATTATGCTTCTACAGTTTAACCTCTTCAAACACATTATAGACATCTCCTAACATAAATATGCACTTTATGGTATTTAATGTATATATTTTTTTTAAATTGGAAGTATGAAATTATCTTAATAGATACATTTTCTTTTTTTTTAACTTACTGAAATTTAAGAATTGATAAAAGAAGCCACAAACATGGGAACCAGCTGTTTAAAACATAACTCAAACACATTCACAACTCCTTGAAGAAAAATTTTGGAGAAAAACCTGAAGATCAAAAGAATTCCATTCTCCTCTTGTGAGTAGTAATTCTGGACTTTTGTAAATGTAGCTCTTACCAGCGCAGATGATCAAAAGCACTGGAATGTTTCAATCTCAGGACGTCAGACACTAACCCTAATCGGAAACAGAAAGCAAGTTGTTTGCAATACTGTAATAAGCTGCGGCAATTTTGTTATTTTAGATGGGAACCTTAATGATGAGCCTCAAATGCAAGTTGTTACAAAGCCTTTGAGACTAAAGCTGTATGCCCTATATTCTCCTCCCATGCTGTTCCAGTTAAAACCATACATGCGGAAGGACAAATGAAAATGTTGCCATGGTGATCAGAGTAGTTACCAAATCATGTACACTGTAGGAAGGATTCCCTAAAGAACCTTATTAAGCATTTTGTTGCTCTTTTTTAAAATAAATATTTTCAGAAAGCCTTTTTTTATTTCGCTGTCAATAAAATAGCTACTCAGTTAGCTAAACCCTATTTCTCTACCCTCAAACTAAAAGCACACCATACATATGGAAATAGTCTTGTTAAAAGTTAGAAATGAGATTCTTAAGCTGAAAACTTTGAAATAAGAGCCAAGAATGAGCCTATCAAAAATGAGATCTGTTCAAGATGCTTGAATGTTTTTCAGCATAGGTGTGTCAAGCCTGATAAGATACTGATGTCTTCAGCTGCCCAGTTCAAAAACCAAATCTTTAAATGGAAGACATCCCAAAAGCCTATTGATTAAAAGGAATATGGTTATGTGGGGTTTTTTTACAATATCATTGGATGTGAGACACGAGGTGAGCTCTGCCAGCAGCAGCCACATTGTCCAAAGCCCCCTGTCTCGTGTGCCCAGACTAGTAGCTGAAGACAGTCGGGTGAGGCACATTATCCAAGTTGAATGGCAAAGAAAACAAAACCTGTACAATGCAGACATCTTGTATTTCCACTGCACAAAACAGTACAACAGACATTGATGGAAATTGCTAAAAATAAGCTAGAGAAGGTACATGCACTTCGGGGTAAATTCACATGGCTTTGTTCACCAAGCAGCCCTTTATAGCATCTCAATTCAGCATTTAAGAACATCCCAAGGCCCTCAATTCCTCAGCTAGTTTTTGCCTTGCAGGTATTTAAGACGTTTATGGAATACAAGTTTGTGCAGAGGACGGGGGGGAAGCTTGATCTTTATTGGTGGCTGTTCAGAGTCTCAGCTCAGACTGGTGCAGTTCTCCAACAAAATTGTCTCCTGCCTTATGGGGCTGGCTGATACACTGTACATATCAGGTACTGCAGTGAGACAACTGTCCTAATGCATCAGATTGGAAAAGAATTCACTTTTTTTTTTTTAATAAGGAGAACAAAAAAATAAAAGTCTGTAAAGTAACAGTTGCTTCCATCAGGTGCCTTGCATGAGCTTAATTTTACTTCATGAAGAAGGCAGCCTTATTTCACACCTCATTCTTTTCCTCTCACTGCACTTTAAAGTTGAAATAAAAAGAAGTCCCAGAACCTCAACGAATTACTTGCTGACAACTTAACTACTCTGCGGCCACAAAATATGCAAACATAATGGCTGTCAACACAGTGGTCTCGCTGCCTATCCTAGAACAACATTTTTTTACCATTACTCTCCATCCCCATAAAGTCCTACTCCCATGGGCAAAAGCAGGTAGAGAGCTGCTCAGAAAATGTAATTCTTCTATCCCTGTGCTGTCCAGTTTTACACCCCCACAGTAAAACCCTCAGGAACACTTATTTCACAGTTCAGTTTACTTTCTAAATAATTTAAATCATTGTAATTGAAAATAAGATACAAGCAACCACATTTTTCTACAGTTTTATTGATGTAATCCTGGTGTGTGACTATACATCTCCATTCTGCTCATAGCTACAATGGCACTTTACTAGGATTGTTTTTGTAGTCAAGTTTCTTACAGTCTTCAGAAAACATATTTATAGACACCACTTACTGTATAAGTCCAATCATTCTAAACACTGTAAATCACTGGGACTTTTCCCTAGATAGTGCTACTTGAGGAAAAGGTCACACTACTCTCTTTAGATAGAAATTTGTAAAGGCAACTGAATTGAATTCACCTTCCAAAGAAAATAGGATTGTTAAAAATAGCTTCAAGAATTGGTATGACTCATTTAGGTCCCAGAAAAATCTGACTGGCAAAGACATCTACAATTTGATACTGTACTTGATATTTTCATTAAGACCAAAAGAATGTTTATGAAGAACTGAAAGTAAACTTTTACATTGCCCTGAAAGATAAGCATTACCTTGAATTTTTTAGTTTTTGGGGTTTTTTTTTAAATTTTAGGGACTTTTTTTAACAGAAATTGCACTACCTGCCAAAAATATTGTAGTTATGGGGTAAGTGTTGACATCTGAAGAAAAAAATGCTAAAAGCATGCAACACTGATACCAAATTTTAGCAGATGACATTTTTAATTGAAAACTGACTCAAAGGATAGTACAAAAGAGTTTCTTCTCCCTAAAGGGATTTTCAGATGCAGGTACAGGAATAATAAGGGGATCTTCTCCAATGTGTGCATCACAATATGCCAATAAGTCTGCTGCAGCCTTGGATACCTAATAGAGGTAGAAGAGAAAAGAGAACTACTGTAACACTTAAATCTGAACCAATCCTAATTGCATAAATATTTTTTCATAGAACAAATGATAATGGAAGCTATCATAAAACAAGGAGTAGATTGCTTTATCCTTTTAAATATTAGACACATCTCTCAATTTGCTCTTCCTACAGCTAGTAATCCTTACACACTTTTTATCTAACATAGTGACATAGATGATATCAATTGACATCATCCACATCAAGCTGTTCCTCTCCATCAGAAGGAGGTCAGGAGCACATAGTCATTAAAACATTTATATGTTAATCACCCATAAGCAATAAGGATTCTCCTTGAAGGGTCTGTTTCTACAGAGAAACCTGCTTCAGCTCTTACTCCCATTCATTGGTTTTAAGGTTTTCCACACACACTCTCTCTCTGTCCTTTGTTCCTCTGGTGGCAAAATAAAAAGTTCTTTAGACACATGATCATGGGATTAAAAAGAAATAATAGATCACAAACAAAACTTGAACACCATGATTCATAGCTCTCATTTAAGCTAAATACTGCTCTTTTCAATGAAGCAAGACTAATGTCTTCTGCTCAGTAAATTACTATAAGTAGTCCTTTATTCACAGTATTCATTTAAACTTGAGCACTACCTTAATATTTTTTAACTTCATATTTTTTTACTTCTAAAATAAATAATTCTCAAGTCTCCAAGTTCAAAACATGGGTTTTTGCTTACTGAAAAGTCTACAAAAATACAAATACATACAAAAATGTAGCAGTGTGTTGAATATTTGCAATGCAAGCTATGAAAAATGAAATATTAAACCTTGTAATTTTTTCAGCTTTGTGCTGTAAGAATATTGGTGGCAGTAGGCCATAGTGATTCATTTATTTTTCAAGAATTTAGAAAGTATATACAATTTTTTTTTGTTCTGCTCAGTCAATAAGATATTCACAGCTATCTGTATCTCTTTACTTTGGTGAATTATTGGGTTTTCAATATTCTGGTAGTTGAAAAAATGAATTCTAGTGTCTTTACAAAGAAGTCTTTTCTTTGAGCACCATGACAGCTTGTCCCCCTTCCAACACCAAGGTCAGCATGTTTGCACAACCAGAGTGAAGAGAAGAAACAAATCACATTTCTGATATTTTTCTAGCAGGTGTTTCATCAGTATTAGCTTTAAGCTTCCCCATGCCCTGCTTGTTTGCACATGGACCCAGCCCATAGCAGGCTTCAGATCAGACCTATGAAGTCAATGGGTATTGAATCAGAATTTGCATGAAATTTGAATGAACTTCTGAAGACAGTTACAGACTCTTTATTTCTTAATTTCTTTATTTTTAATTTCTGTATGTCGTTGTAGAATGCTTAAACCTATGGAAAACCTGTGGCTGGCACCCCACAGTGCCAACTATAGTATGGACTATCCCCCTAATGGAGAATATAAGAGTGTTAAGGTTATTTAAAATAAGTTTGTCTTTGAACTGGCCTGTAAGACAAAAGGGTGGCAGAGACACTACATGTGAACAGAATGCTGCTGAGCACAGGTGAAACAGAAAACAACAAATCAGAAGAGATGTTCACAAGGACCAGTGCTTCTCAAGAAAGAAGCAGGTAAAACAAAAATTCATGGAAAGTTACAGACCTCAAAGTACAAAGGATTGTAATGATTTTCCTGTAATGATCTTTTTCATTCCATGCATGGGTAAACAACATCAGCCCAAGTCTATTGCTTTTCATTCAATGGAAGAGAAGTACAATTTCAGACTTCATTCTTAAAAGGGATAAACCCAATAATATAATTTCCTGTTTCTCTACATATTGTTGTGTAGTTGTCAATTGTGTATTGTTGTCTACATATTATATTGATACAATATAATAAACAAAAGGGAGTTTCACTAGAAAAAGCTCTACATACATTTTTGTATCTAACTTATCCTGTAATGCTGGTAGGAATGTTGTGAAGCAGAGCAATGCATTCACAGAATCACCTGGGTTGAAAAAGACCTTTGAAATTATCAAGTCCAGCCTTTGACCTAACACCACCTTGTCAACTTGACCATGGCACTCGGTGCCACATCAGGGATGGCAACTCTGCCACCTCCCTGGGCACCCCACTCCAATGCCCTCTCACCCCTTTCTGTGAAGAAAAAACCTTCCTTCAATGTCACAGTGTTTAAGTCACATTTCAGTTTGCTTTTAAACAAACCATAGTACAATTTATTTAAAAAAAAACCTGCAACAAGAAACTGAGGAATATGATCATTGTCACAAACTAAACCCACACTAGACCATATATTTTCTTTATCCTTTAAACAAATAAAAGATTTTGAGGGGAAAAATCCTCCCACTGAGATTACAGGAGTCATAAAAGTGAATTATAACCATTTCTTCACTAAAAGTAGAGTAACTTAGGCCTGCACAGTGGAATAATGACCATTCACAACAGGGAGTTAAATGAGCTGATCACAGTCCAGGAGCGATGAAAACACGAGTTCCTGCAGCTGTGAATGGTGTTGGCAAAGTCAGACCTGTGGCCCAAAAAAGAGCAAAATACAATACTGCCTCCAGCAAGTTTCCTGCTCAGTGTCATTATTGGGAAGAGCAGTGGTGGAAGGCCTGTGCACTGAGCGTAGCACCAAGGCTCCAGCAGGGATGGCTGCTTTGGCACAGGCAGCACCCAGAGGTGTGGGCTGTGCTGTACATGTTGGTGTGCTGATTGTCCCACTGTGCTATGGAAGGAGTCAAATGGAGCCCACTCTAGTGCAGCTTTTACTCGCCCTTGGGGTTATTTGTAGCCCAGCGTTGCTGGACAGCTTCAAAATAGCTCTTCCTAAGAATTAAAATAAATGCATGTGATTTGAATATTCAAATGAAGATAACACATTTATCATGTCAGCTTTCCTACTCAATATGGCTTGGTCTGCAAATTCAAAGTAATTTATACATACTGCAGAAATGGCTAAAGAAAAAAATCGGACTCCAGTTTGATTGATGAATTCTATCAGGAAGTTAACATTTCCATCTTAAAAAATCTTTTAAGGTGTATGGATTAGAAGAGATGAAGTACATAGGTAGCACACTGATCTCACATTTTGTAGAATTACTTTTACTCTCTGTATCAAAAACCACATCTGGTTATCAAATTAACAAAAGGGAAAAACAAATCTAACAAAACACTCAATCCTGGTGCTTTAAAGAATTAGTCTCAGGAGGACTGAAATTTTACCATTACATTTCAGATTAGCAGAGGTGATAAAAACTGCCGTAGTTAGAACATCCTGTTAGCTGCACTAATAATTATAAGCTTCAGTGACAGGGCAAAAGGCTGCAATTATGATGTCTTCTGCCTTGTCATGGATTGTGACTAATTACCATCATTGCTACAACACCCACTCTGCTTATCCTTTACATCTAAAACAAAGAGATTCACACACATTTATTGGCATTCTCACTGTTCATCTCCCAACACTATTCAGGACCAGTTAGGAATACTTCCTATCTTCCTAAGGAAAAAGAAAACAGAATGGTAACTGATACGCCAAGTGTCTTAAATGTCAGAGCACTCTTGCTTTTCTGCTTGCAAAGAGAAGATTAAGTAGTGCTTTATTCTGAGAACAACTCTGATAAACACCAATACTACCTTTGCTTTCTCAATTTTACTGCTAGCATCTTTAGAAGACACATCACTGTACTAGTCACAAGGCCACTGTTCATCTGATTTACTTCGATTGTTCCTACCTAGGAATATGCATTTCCAGCTTCCTTCTTACTTCTGTTATAACTCTAGTTGTTCTTTTGCCAGGTAAAACAGGTTCAGTCATGATCCTTCTGGGATTCCTATGGTTTACAAAAAACCCACAGTAATCCTCCTTCCAACTACTGACCAGTAACTCTGTCCTCCTCTTTTGAGTCATCCTGTTTCTTTCTCACCTCAGCAGCGAGTTGTTTGTGGAACTTCAGAACACAGCACTGCTTTGCTGCTCTGACTGGCAAGAGGACTTAAGAGGAGTCCTTAAATTAGTTGAAAATTCCAGAACACAGTGTGAAGTCAGCAACTATCAACCTACTTTTAACTACAACATTCTAATTGTGCAGACCCAACTCTTGCTGGTTACAGCAGCTACTGTGCTTGGGAAACAAAGTGCCTCTGCAGTAGAAAAATAAACAGGAACATCTGATTTCCCCAGTCAATAACACAGACACCTCTTCAATCTTGGCAATGTGGTCTTGCCTATTGTGGCAATAACAACTTGGCTATAGTTATTTGCAAAAGAGGGTTTAATTAAATTATTTGGAAAGCCCTGATCTTTTATTAAATGTCTAACTAGTTTAATCAGATGCAAAACACCAGAAAAAAAAGGAAGCAAGTTCATTTATCTGCCTTTACAGTGATGATTTAAGAACTTAAAATCTCCTGCTGAAACCACTGGAAAGCCTCTTGGTAAAATTTGGCTGTGCTGAAACACACACTTAAGTGATTCAGGATTAAAAGGCCAAGCAGATTTTAAAGGAATAAAAAGTCAATCAACTGCTTCTCACAATCCCTCATATGCTTGTTCAAAGAAATTCTAGAAATCAAGGCATTTTTTTAAAAATTTAGAAATTTTAGAAATCAAGGCTATATTTTTTTTATATTAGTATAGGAACCCTCTGAAATGTCAGATTTTCTTTGGTGTGTTCTTGGTCCCAGGCTGTTTCAAAAGGCAAACTAATTGCACTTTCAAGCTACCTGTTTTTAAGGTCTGCCACATTTGCTAATAACTGTGTTCTTTTTAATTAAATTGACTGTAAAAACAACCTGTGTCTTTCTTGCAGCTATGTCTTTCTTACATTCGTAATTAAGAATGTTATACACCCAACTAATGAAGCTATTTGAATAACTGACCTAATGATGTGGGACATGACAGTTACCACTGCGTATGTGGAAGCAGGTTTAAGACAATCCACTAAGTATCAACAATTTCAAATGCCAATAAACTGGGCCCTATTTTTCCAACCCTTTCCTCTGCCACCCACACCCTGCCTTGCCAGCTCTGTTCAGGCAGCTGCAATAGGACCTGAGTTGGGACCGACCAAGGCAGACCTTCTTTTACTGCAGGAAACAAACACCTGTCCCTGTGAACAGGTTATTTGGAAACAGGAATTTGTGACACACGAAGAAATAGAGAAACTACTTTTGTAAATTCAATGGTCTTACAGACATTGCTAAAAACTGCCACAAAACAGAGTGACTGAAATTTCTTTTTTCATATGAGCAAGACTGACCACTCATGGAATTGCACTAATATTTATGAATTGTAAATACTACTTTTCCAGCTGGTGAGTTTGTGATCTGAGGTTATTTTAAAAATCCTAAATATATACTATGCCTGCACTGACTGCATGCAGACTTTTAGCACACAGGATGGATGGACAAATAGATTGCATTAAGACTACATGAAGATTTTAATGTACAACATTTCTAAATTATCCTACTGACATAATAATCTCAGTTATAGTTTGCAAAAACTCAGATACAATTTGCAGAGAACTGGGTCATTTCAATGCATTACTTTTTAAAGATGGAAAGACTAAAAACTTCTTCCATGTAGAGACTGGATTTTTTATCAAAATAAGTATTCCTTATATTCAGAGGCAAAGAGCAAAAGAAATGATCATTGCTTTCTTAAAAAGTTCTGTGGCATTATTAGCTTCTAGGTGCTTGGTATTGCACAAAATTTTAGCCTAGAGGAAAGCAGAATGTCATGCAAGAATAATCCACAGGATTTTTTGGTTAAAAAAATTAAACCTCTGTTTAATAGTGCCTTTAATGATAATATTTAATCCACATGTATTTAGATGAAACCAAATCTTCACATACAACATGTTATCAAGTGTGAAGAATCACAACTTTGCACACTGCAATCATACACATTCTTTGTGCAATGATGCGTGCACTAAAACTAAACAAAGCAAAGCAATTCAGCTTGCGTCATCATTATTCAAAAATTTTGCAATACCTTAAACACTTATTCCAATTCTTAAAGGAGAAAAACCAAGAAACCAGAGCTGCACTTAAATTCAGCTACAGGTGACAAAGAAGAACACCCGTGCACCTGCTGGCTGATTTTAAGTATTTCACAAAATAGCGCTTTTGACAAATGTAACAGACACTCACACAGAAGCAGGCTTGAAGACAGGCTTTGGAAATTGCTTCACTAGAACCCACCAGTCAGTGTGTAACCCACAGTACTGAATATTGTTTAATTGCTCAACACAGATTCTTGATTTCTGCATTATTAAAAGCATGCTGTTCCACAAACTAGTCACTGAATTAAAAATATCAACAATAAGTCTAAGTTTACCTTTATTCTATCCATGTATGCTTCCATTTTTAATTGTTCCACAGCTTTCCTGGCTTGAGAAATACTGGTTGTACTGTTTGACATTAGTTCCTTCATTTTGTTTTTCCTGGAAGAGACAAAGTTGAGACCATTTAAAGAAGGGGTGGGAAATGCAGCAATCACTGAGAGGAGTTATCTGAACTCTACCCAACCCATTGCCCACCACATCAGCACTGCCAGGCTGTTGGTCACGAATACACAGCAGACAGCTTTTATTTCTGTTCTCTTGCTCCATGGCACCTTTTTGCATGACATATTTGCATCCTCAATCATCAGCATTCTGCCTGAATCCTGCAAATGACATACAAATGCAGAGCACATGACCATGACTTCAGTGTGAAAATGGTTGCCCTGGTTCACGTTGCCAACGCAGAACAGCTGCTCACAAGCAGACCTTGCAGGCATTGCACAGTTTGGCTCCACGCCCCAGTTACACCTAGAAACACCAAAACAAGCTCAGAAATATGTGCAGTGGAAACGAATGCCACACTGCTCCCAACGAGCATCAGAGAGAAATTGTAAGGTAGAGAATGAGTCAGAATTCTGACTATCAATAAAAGAAGTTTAGAAATGAGGTAACAGATTAAGAAGAAATAATGCAGTGGTTTCCAATGTTTATCTTAGACATCCCCAGCAAAGTGCAAAGGTGACTAAACCCAGTACAGTACGCTGCCCAGGATAGGAATGCTTTACTTCTTAATGGATTTGCAGCTCTTGGGAAGGGACATCTAGGTAAGGTATGTTAGCATTTGGTTCTGTTGCACTGCTACTCCCTGAGGGATGAGGTGTAAATCAGCTCGATATCCAGCAGTCCTCAGCACTGTTACCAAATGAGTAGAGACACATTCAGACCTTGACTAACTTACAATATTATTTATGCCAGAGGTGGTCTGCATGTTAGACCCCCTTGTGCTGACACCTCTACGCAGCACTGGTCCAGCACAAGGAACAGTCACTATTTTGAAGTCACTGGAGGTTGGACCAAGGCCACATGGAAAGATGATGGGCTACAGATGTCCTAGGCAGGTCGCAGACTAGCTGTACTACCTAGTAAGATGATGCTGAGGTTCCAATCAGGCAACATTCTCCTGTGGTCCTTACCACAAGTGCCACCTGCAGCCAGATTAGTCTGGCACCAAGCCTCAGAAGCCAATGCAAAGTTCAGCAAAATGCAAAGGACACGCGGTGTGAGAGGCAGATGGGACACAGGAGAAAAACACGCACAAGGAGGCATTTTGCACTGCTGCTAAAGCAGTTTTAGGCTCAAGCCTTTCAAAATGAATACTTCCAGCTTATTTCTGGATAAGAAGCAAATACCTAGAACCACACAAACTTCTTTTCTTGAACCTTGATAGCTTACCTGATCCAGTCACTGGGGTGTAAGATACAAACAGGAAATAAAGTAGGACGCTGGAAATACTCTTGTAAAAAACCTGTATGTAAAATGTCCCTGCTAGACTCAAGAGAAATACACAATCCATAGTACAGAAAGAATGGAGGAATAATTTTTTAACTACTTTTATTTTGCAAAGCACAAATGCTCAGAGACAAGGCAAAGCCAGTTGTTTCTTCTCACAGCCTGGTATGAAACAGACTGCTTCTAAAAATCAGTAACCTGTGCTGTAAAACAGGATGGTGGAACACATATGCCATGGTGAGCCATGCTCAACACTAATTTGAAGAAACAATAGAATCTTTTTCTTTCAGGTCTAGTGTAATTCAAGGCAGGGAAATGCTACTTTAAAATACATTAATTGTGCCAAACAAAACAAGAGCTTTAACATATGCCAAGACAAAAAACAGGTTTTCTGCCTATACACGTGTCATTTGAATGTAACACAAGTTTCCCCCTTGCATGCTCTGATGAAATAAAATCATGTCAGAACACAGCAGGTTCTTTGTCTTCATCTTTGTCTACCATTTTTTAACTCATATTCCTCACAAAGCAAAGGACTGAATACATGTGGAGGAACTGGCTTTGCATAAAATGCCACGTACCATAGAAAATCCACAACCAAGCCACAGCCTCCAATCAATTTTGAGATGTGTTTTGACTTGCAGTGGAAAGTCAAACAGCAGAAAGGATACAAGACATTCACAAAAGAAGAAAGTTCTGAATTACAGCTCATCTCTGAACTTTATGTTTGACTCAACCCCCTCACTTTTAAGTATCAACCTACCCATAAAAATTAGAATAAACACGTCTAGCTTTGTTTACAAAATGATACCCCGACAAGAGTGAATCATTTAAATTTTATCACCCACACATCTACCTTACTAATGATCACAAAGTCAAAAAAAGTCAAAGTAGAGGCCCTTCTACATTTGCTACATACATTTAAATTAAACTGAATTAAGCAACTGCAACTCCTTGAACAGTCCAGAGAATTCCAAATCTCCTAATTTTTTCTGGCAATTCATTCACTCATACTGTAAAAGCTACAAACATTAGTGTTAGACAATTTGAACTGTCACTGACTACAACAAAGTTGGCAAGAACACAGGTCATAGTACTTCCAGCCAGTGTTTAAGCATTTACAGAATAAGGAATGAGTTAAGTCTAGAGCAGAATTTTGAAAAGGCTATTAGGTATAAAAATGCTTCTAAAAATTCAAACCATGTTTCTAAAGCAATGCCACAAAGATAATATATCCTTACCTATATTCTAAAACACCAAATAGGAACATTTAAAAAAAGAAAATATGTATCTTGCCTAATAAAGCATTTCACAGTATCAGAAAACAACCAGAATATGAGGCTTCATAAAAAAATAACTTTAAAAACAAAAAAAGTCTGGCACTAGACATTTCAGACACTGGAGAAAATTTCCACTTACCCCCAGCAAGAGGTTTGTTTATATTCTGAAGCATAAACATTTGTTCTCTTCCAAATCCTGTTCCAACCTTGGCCTTTACATGCATTTAAATATTTAACTACTGTATCTCTGGAAGTATTTAGCATCCATTTAAGTATTTAATTTCAATTTTTTACAGACAGGCCTGGTTCCTTAACTTTGTGAGGCTGACTTCTCCTCACATACCAAGTTACACATACCTCTACCTTCTCTCACTCTCTGCAAACACATTACATATCTGTGCATCATTTAAGGCCCTACTACAAATGGTGTGATGATGAAAATGAGAATTGCACTCACTTTCAAACCAGGTTTTGATAAAGGTCCTTATTGCACACAAAGCTTTGTAGTGACACTTGATTCTGCTCTCCTTAGCATCTACAATAATAACCTTAATATTCTTTAATGAAATAAAATTGTTACTTTGAAATAAAGCTCTGGAGAGAACAGAAATTTTAATTACAAGAGAATCTATTACACACCCATCCTCTGGAATGTGAGGAAGCCTCTCCTTCAAACACCCTCTTGCAGGATGTGTTTCGTCTGAGGCTGCAGCCTGACAAATGGATCTGATCCTCTCTCTTAAGATGACACCTCTTAAACTGTCCAAGTATTCTCTAGGCCTTTATTCCCACAGGAAGACACATTTATCTTTGTATTGTACCTGGGTGGGCAGACAGGAGCATGGAATGGTTTATATTGGAAGGCCCCTGCAATGAGCAGGATCATCTACTATAACAAGTTGCTCAGGGCCCTATCCAGCTGACCTGGAATGTTTCCAGGGATGGGGCACCCACCACTTCTCTGGGTAACCTGTTACTGTGTTTCTCCACACCCACCATAATTTTTTTTCTTCTTTATATCTAGTCTGAATCAACTCTCTTTTAGTTTAAAACCATTACTCTTTGTCCTTCCACAACTGGCCCTGCTAAAAATTCTGTCCCAGTTTTTCTTTCAACCCTCTTTTTATTACTGAATGGCTGCAATAAGGTCTCCTAGGAGCCTTTGCTTCTCTAGGATGAACAACTCTAACTCTTTCAGATATTCCTCATAGGAAAGGTGCTCCAGCCCCTTGATATCCTGGTGTCCTTCCCCTGGACTCACTCCAACAGGTCAGTGTCCTTCCCATGCTGGGGACCCCAGAGGTGGATGCAGTGTAGGGTCACACCAGAGCTGAGTAGAGGGGCGAAATCACCTCCCTTGACCTGCTGACCACATTGCTTTTGATGTTTAAAAGGAGCAACTCCTCCCCATCGTTTGAATTACCTAAAACCCCTTGAACCAGAAATTCTCAGCTGGATTTGCTCATTCCTGGCTGTTTTTACGGTGGATCAATACAGGCACACACACGGGTCCTGATAATCCCTGTAGTTACAGTAACTGTGCTATCAAGCAGCCTACTTGCAGTCTAAATGTTACTGCTGCAGCCAGCAGACCTGGATTATACAGGAGCTCATTTATCCAGCACAGTTTTGTGCAGCACATACAGTTCATTGACCTGGTCTCCGTTGACTCCTCTTTTTAGGGGAACACTGACCACACTAGCAAAAAACAGTGACAGCAGCTACACAGCCTTTTTTAGCCAAACAGCTTCTGCTGACTGGCACCCCACACCAGACAGCCCTTTCCTAAAGCATCACTCCTGCAAGCTGCGCATCGACAGCCTCCCTGCCAGCTGCATTTTCTGGTGTTTTGTTTACCTCACTTCATCCTTTTCCTGGGTGCACGTAACTCATGTGTGCCGAAGTTCCTTATTTCCCAGGCTCCTAAAAATGCTTGTGAAGAGCAGCTTTTCCTTTTTCGTTTTTACAATGGATGATTGTACCCAACAGCACTTCAAAGGCAAATTTATTTTATGATAATGCAGAAAGCTGCATAAATATTTGCAGGTATAGCTTGATGCTGCATTGGGGTAAAGAGTGCAACCTTCACTTACCAAACATTATAAATACTTGTTAGTAAAATGCAGAAAAAGTCTAAAAACTTGAGTAACACAGAAGCAAAACTGAATTTTCAAGCTCTTTGGGATGGATTTCTATAAGCATCAGGGAAGAAAAGATGCAATTTCCCCCCATCTAGCTCCAAGTACAATCTTAAAATGCCATACCATAAAAGTGACCTCTAGAATTCAGTCTAAAAAGCCCTAAACCAAATTGCTGCCTTAATCTAAAGTGATGGATCTGAAATTACTAGATTAGAAAACCTAGGGTTGACAACTCTGAAGAACACCTCCCACACAAGCTCCGTACTTCTTAGACCACACAGCCCGATAGGAAAGTTAACCCAATCATTCAACTAAGTCCCAGTGACATTGGCGGGAATCATCCCTGGATAATGACCTGGAAATCACATTCTAAATTGAGGAAAGATCATCACATTTCATTATCCACTTGCAGGAACATAAACAGCAAAATTTACAGCCTCGTGGCTGTTCAATGCCAAACGGGTATACCGAAGAAATTAAAAGAAAAAAACAAACAAACAAACAAAAAGAAATTGAAAGAAACCCAACTTCCCCTGTTATCTCAGTTCTTACTCTAATATTTACAGCAACTGATGTAGCTCAGTAAAGAGAGAGGGAAGCTAAGGAATCCTTTTCTATTTCATGGCTGCACAAAGGAAAACAAGAAAATTACTTCAGCTTTTCACTCCATCTCCTAAGGAGAAGCTTAGTAGTAGAAGCAGAAATTATTAGATTAAAGACAAGAACGATTGTTCACGATAAGGAAAGAATGCAATTTTCGTACCATAAACGTGGTGACTTTGAAAATAACTTCTCCTCATCTAACTGCAAATCAGCGAAACTCCAACAGCTCAGTTCTCATCTAACACATACAGTCCTATATCGAGTCCATTGTCAAGTTCCAAATATTCTTGCTGTCATACCCAAATTTTTATTCAAAAATATGATCTTGCTTCTCAACATTAAAAAAAATCAAAGGAAACAATGGTTGAACTAATGTGATATTTCCCATAGACAATATTTTCGTGCAGTATTATTTATCATCAGCATACAGGTTACGTGAACATATAGCCCAGCAAACCATCAGATTTGGAAAGTCTGAGGCAGAAAGATTATTCCTGGCTACTGTTTTACCCCTTTAGCTAATTTTGAAAGCTAGCTGTGAGCTTTCAAAGAAGTACACAGGGAATTTTGATTATTCCACTTGAACCCCGCTTACACGTATGTGAACAGAATTGTAACCCACAAGGTAGGGAGAGCGCCTGCGGGAAGCTCGGCACTGCATCTCCTGCAGGGCAGAAGCGTTTTTCAAGTTGTTATTCCGAGTTTTCCGTCTCACTGCACTGCCCTAATGGCTCTGCTGTGCAGCAGCTCCCAGCGCTACACATCAGCGATTACCGCCAGCAGCAGCCGGGCAGCGGGAGTTGCTCCTCCGTCAGCGCCAGCCAGTCCGCAGGAAAAGCGGACACTTCCTTGAGCCTTCGCCCCAGGCAGCTGGCGGAGGAAGGAGCACGCCGGGCAGAGACCCCCTCCCCGCCGCCCGCGGGATACCTGGGCTCGGGGCGGGTTCTCGGAGAAGGATGTTCCCCGCCGGTGCCAGCGACAACGGAGCCCAAAGCCCGAAGCCGACTCCTGCGGATAACCGGGAAACTCCGGCTCGCGCGGCCGCCGCCTGCCCTCGTCTATCCGCAGCAGCCCACGGGAGCAGCGGGGCGCGGCCCCGAGGGTTTCCCAGGACACCGGCGCCCACGGCGAAAGCCCCGCGCTGAAACCCCGACCCGCCCTGCGCTGGACGCCCCTCCCGGCACCTTCTCCCGGCCGGCCCCCGGGCACTCCCTCCCGCTGTCCCTCCCTCTGTCCCTCCCGCTCTCCCTCCCTCGCCGTGCCGAGCGGCCGTGGCACATGGCGCGGCGGGGCGGGGCGGCCGCAGGCCCCGCTGCCACCGCCCTCACGCTCGGCCTGCCTCCGGCCCTCCCCATTCCTGCCGCAGCCGTCTCCTGCCCCGGCTCCAGCAGGCGCTAGGGAGCGAGGGATCGTTCAGCTATTCTCAAAGAGAATCACAGATCACAGAAACAAAGTCAATTCGGTTGGAAAAGACCTCCGAGATCATCGAGTCCAACCTTTAATCGAACACCACTCTCTCAACTAGACCGTGGCGATAAGCACCATATCCAGTCTTTCCTTGAACACATTCGGGGACAGTGACTCCAGCACCGCCCTGGGCAATCCATTCCGAAGTTTAATCACCCTTTACGGGAAGAAATTCCTGCTACTGTCGAAATTGAACCTCCCCTAGCACGGCTTGAGGCTATTCCCTCTCATCCTATCACTCGTGACCTGGGAGAAGAGTCCGGCCCCTACCTGGCTACAGCCTCCTTTCGGCTGGTTGTAGAGAGCAATTTTTTCTCTTCTCCAGGCTAAACATGCCCAGCTCTTTCAGCCACTCCTCACAGCACCCGAGTTCCCTTCACCAAGTTAATTTCCCTTCTCTGGACACACTCAGCGCCTCAGTGTCCTTCCTGAACTGAGGGGCCCAAAACTGAACACAGAATACTCAAGGTGCAGCCTCAGCAGTGCTGTGCACAGTACAGTCGCTGCCCTGGTCCTGCCGGCCACACTATTGCTGATCCAGGCCAGAATGCCATTGTCTCGCCTTGTCAAGGCTAGTATGTCAGAATAATCCTATTCAGCTTCATAGATCAATTTTTATATGCTTCTCCCTATAAAAGCTGTATGGATCAGCAGCATTTAGAAGTGCCAATTAACATTTTTAACTGAAAATTTTGTCAGCTGTGATAACCTGTTGGCAGGATCACCAGAGTCTCATTAATTTTTTCCCTAGTAAGATGGCTGTTCCCTCTGGAGCGGTGTATGTTCTCTCCTACCTGCCCTCGACACTTTTTCTCACTCCATCATAATGGAGCAGAATTTCTAAGTAACATTTGTTTTCCATATGGAAGAGATCAAGGAAGAGTCCTATTTTTAAAAGGTGCTCTGGAACAAGGGCAGCCTTTTCTGAGTCAATGGCTTTTGGGGTAGGAGACGCAACAGGAAGAATGTAAACATCACTAAATATACATAGGTATGTTCACAAGCCTCCCATAACTAGAGTTTGAGAAACTGATGGAAACCTCAGTGGCCTATGCTGCTGCTCTTTCATTCATGTTCAACTACATCATCAGTCAACAAAAGGCCTCATTTCATAGACAAAGGATTTACATGCTGTTAGACAATGGCACATTAGATGGTTCCAATCATGAGACTGTTGTCATCGGTTTTTACTACTGGATTCCAACAATTTTATGACTTAAGCCAAAATATAAAGGTGGGAAATGGCTGTTTTAAAATGTATTTTCATCATATAATACACAGATATTTATTTTAAATTGTCTTCTTTTAAATCTGCAAACTCTTACCTTCCACCACAACCAAGAGTTTCCCCTACAGGTTCTAGAGGCAATACCCATACAGCACAAATTTCTATTCCTTGAATTTACATGAACTTGGCTCTAAACCACATTTCATTTTTAATCCTTTTTCAAAATTATGAAATACAAAACAGAGCCTATTACAGAAATCCTGATACAGAATCAGTGCCTTTCCGACCCCACTCTAGAGCAGTAATGGCAAATAAATCTCTAAACAGCAGTCACTTGTAACTCGTTTGTAACTTAATACAGCAACAAAGTAAAAAAAGGTGTCTGTATGTACAGAGGCTTAAATATTCCAGTGGATATTTTTCAAGGCAAGCAGAGCTTTTAAATAGTAATTGTTTGATCCCTTTTGTAATAGAGTAGCAGCATATGGAAGCGTGGTTTCCATTTTCATATGCAAGAAGGAAAAAAACCCAAGACAGCTTTAATCAAAAGAAGTCATGAAGAAATTAAAAGGTAAACTAAATATTTGTTAGTAGTAAGACAGGTGCTATTTCCCCCACCACTCCATGGTTATCTTTTACTATAATATTTTTGCTTAATTCAGTTCAGGCTTTTTTATTTTTCCTTCTGTTCACTGTCATGGGTTTGTCTAAGCAGTGGATCTCTAAATGCAAGATCAGAACTCCCTTTCAGTAATGGGTTGGAACACAAGTGAATATCCAGCAATTGCTTCCCCTTTCCTTTTTCTCCATGTCTCTCCACTATCAGAACATCAAGGTCTGGATTTAACACAGAATCCTGCAATCAGATAGATAGGCCTTTCCCCATGAACCTCTCCCAAACCCTGGCTTCCAACAGGAAGAGCCTCACATACTGTCAGATGCCTCCCCGAGATCCCAGTCTACCAATTTCCACCCCTCTTTCTGAGAATCCAGAGAGAAGTTGCTTTTCTGCCTTTGCAGCTCAGAGAGGTTTTCAGTGAGAAGGCAGATGGAAGGAAGGGGAATGTCTCTGCTTTGAAAGCCATAATTTAATCCAAATTCTAGTCATGCATCCTAGGGGAAGGAAGGACATGTGCACACATGTGCAAAGCGATATGCCTAGTTTCCCACTTCCCATCTCACATTCCCCCCACCTTCAGTTAGACAGACACAAGATGCAGTCCATAAACAATTTTCCCACTCCATGATTTTTAAAATATGAAGGACAAGGGAATCAGCAGAAACTGATCTGGAGCAAGGTGTGAAAGATTCCCTAAAAGAAGAAAGTTGCAACTAAGCCAAAAACATGTTTCTAATCATCTCAAAATGGTTTGATACAAAGATCTGTTTATTACCCAACAATGTGACAGTGTATATACAAATACAGTGTGGAATGTGACATTTACAGGAAATTTAAGTACATCATGCACAGACACTATTGCAATGTTATTTTAATAGTTCCAGAATATTAAGCTGAATAAATATTCCTTGCTTCAAAAAATCATTTTTACTTTTACATAAAAATATATAATATTGCACTCTTTACAAGGCCAGCAGTTTTGCATATTGATTTGTAACAAGTGGAATTCTACTTTATAAAAAAATAAGCCTTTGTGAGCAACACCCCAAAACAGGGAGCACAAAAGCACCCCAAAACCACAATGTTTGTCTTTTTCTTTTAAACAAAGCACATCACATCAACATGAGCCAGGAAGCTTTTCAGTCTGTATGTGGACCTTACATTAACATTTAGACAGAGAAAAATATGACTACAGCCATCCCATACAATGCTGCTACAATAATATGCAGTTTAAAACTCAATCCATACAGTGTGCAGCCACTTGCTTAATTGAACCAATGATGAGCCTTTGTGTCTTGAACTAAGAAAACATTTTTCTTAAGTTTTTCTAGTTTGTAAAGTTCTTCAACCAGGAAGTCTCAAGAATTTCTGAAGACTGTCTGGAATTTTCAAAAGAAGTGTAAAGACTGTGTGTGTGTCACCTTCGTCACGACCTGACGATTTAATGTAAAGTGTTCCGAAAGCATATGAGCCTTAGACATGAGAAGATACAGCAGTCTGAACGGCAATAGCAGGACATGTCAGTGATAAAGAAGCAAAGCAATTTAAAAGGAAAATGTAACTACATCAGACTTGCGTAGCATTCTTGCTTTACCATTCGCATGACTAGTAGGCACTCAGTCACGGTGCCAGATTTAGAGGTCTTCAAATCCATCAACTGAAATACTAATTTTTCATGTGGCCTAAGACGTCAAATTTGTTAAGCTGTTCATGACAGAGGCTTATTTTTTCCCCCTCATAAAATAGCACCCAGGAACACACAAGAGATTTGCACAGCGCATCTGTGTGAACCTTTCTGGATCATCTGATGCTTATGAACATTGATTATTCAAGCAGTTAGATTCAAACATTTTACAGTGTATTGAACCTCAATGACACTGGAACAGGAGCACATCTGTGCCTTCTTTAACACCTCTTTTTAGAGCTCTGGAAGATAAGCTGTGCATGTACATAATAGATGTTCTGCCACAGAACTGGGAGAGCCAACTATCACAAACAAAATTAGGGAATTCACACTGCACTGTGATCTAATCATTGTTTCACGATGCCATGAGGTGCCTACCCATCACTAAGACGAACATTTTATTGTCGTCTGCCGCAAAGACTATTCCACTAACAGAGAAGATGGCAAAAATTACAAATATAAAGATAGCAGAAATTTGATTTTTAGCATTACGATACCATAAGATGGTGCAAAAAACACCTACTAAGTTCTTGCTTCTCAAAAAAAGCAATTTTAAATGGTTGTTGATTTTTAGGTTTTGGATTGCTTATCCCAGAGCTAACCATATCACACTCAACTGATCAGATATACATATGCTGACATTTGAATAGATATTTACAGAATTTGATGCTGCTGATATTTTACATACTAAGAGGGGGAATAAGCATAATAATTTTTTTTAAATACTTCTGCACAAGAAGTGATTTAAAAAAATACTGTTGGTGTTTTATATTGCAGCATTGAGCATTTCTTAGTCACTTTGCTGGCATTGGATAATATGACCAGAGCTTCTTGATGACCTGGATATGCTTCAAGTTTGTGCATGCACATATGCAATCTTACAACCACCTTAGGCTGCTCTTTAAAAACAAACCCCACCTGTTCAGTCATTCTAGGGACATTCAAAGTACTTCAAAGTCCAGTTAAATAAGAGCTCCTATAACC